TTATTATTGTTATTTATCTATAATTATAATTAATTAATATTTATTATATTTTATTTTATTATTCATTTTTATTTTCTATTTTTTTATTTTTAATTTCTTTTTCAATTCTTATTTATTAATTTTATTGTAAAACATCATTCATTCTTTATTTATTCTTTTTTGTATCTTTCTTATTTATTGTTCTTTATTTTTTATACCTTTTGTTTACTTCTTTCTTTTCTTTATTATCTTTTTTTGTTCTTTACTTGATTTCTTTCTTTAACTTTCTCTATATTCATTTTATTTTATTTTGAATATACTTTTCTTCTAATTATTATTTTTCTTTATCTCTTATTTTGTTTTCTTTTATTTCTTTTTATTTTCTTTGTTAATGTTTTTTATTTCTTATTTGTGTTATCTATATTATCTTTCTGTTCACTCCATTTTATATTCTTATTCTTATTCTCTTTTAATCCCTTTTTCTATTCCTTTCTTATTATACATTTACTACTACCTCTTCATTATTCTATATTCCCTTGAATGGTAATGTCATGTTTTGTTTTCATTATAATACTTATGAATATTATCAAGAATGAATCAATAAAAATTGTTATCCCTTACAATGAAAAAATCTGAAATAAAAGAGAAAAAAAAGAAAAAAAAAGAAAAATAATAAAGAATGGAGGAAGTTACAATAGACAATGGAATGATAATTGAAGAAGAAGCTATTGAAGGACTTCACTTGTTTGGAGATAAAAAAGAAATGACACTATTTAAACATTTAAATAGAACACATACAAAGATAGGAGAAAAGATGATAAAAGAATGGATTAGACAACCATTAATAGATAAGGATAAGATAAATAAACGACTAGAATTAGTAGAAGGGTTTTATGAGAACTCAGAGATTCGATTAAAAATCAAAAATGAAGAATTAGCAATAATGCCAGATTTAGAGAAGTTAATAAAAGGGATAAATAAAAGTGATTTAGAAAGTATTGTCAAATTATATGAAGCAGTAAGAATTAGTAAAAGTATCAAAGAAGAATTAAAAGAAATGAATAACAAAGAAATAGAAAAAGAAATAATAGAAGCATTAGAAAGAATTTCAGAAGAAATGGAAAAATTTGAAGAAATGGTAGTAACACTTATTGACATTGAAGAAACAAAAAATCATGTATTTAAAATAAGAGAAGACTTTGATGAAGGACTTCAAAAAATAAGAGAAAATCATAAAAAAGTAGAAGAACTTTTTGAAAAATGTTTAGAACAAGCAGCAAATGATCTTAATATTAAAACAGATAAAATTAAAATAATTGAACATAATAATAATTTAATATTAAGAGTATCTAAAAGTAATGAAAAAGAAGTTAAAAAGAATAAAAAGTATACTATTATTCAAACACTTAAAGGAGAATGTAAATTTACATTTAAAGAAATGCAAACACTTAATGTTAAAAGAGATAAACTTAATTTAAAAGAAGAAGAAATTAATAAAAAATTTATAGAAGAAATTAATAAAGTAATTGAAGGATATAAAGAAACATTTAAAGAATTAGAAAATATTATTGGATATATTGATTGTATTCAATCATTTGCTACAGTTTCTAATGATAATAATCAAGGATATGCTAAACCAAGAATGAAAGTGAAAAAGGAATTATTAAAATTAAAAAAGCAAGACATCCATTAATTGAAAATAATAGTATAAATACATTTATTGAAAATGATATTGATATTAATAGAAAAGAAACAAGATTTCAAAATATTACAGGACCAAATATGGGAGGAAAATCAACATATTTAAGAATGATTGGATTATGTGTTATTATGGCACAAATTGGAATGTTTATTCCATGATCTTGAAATGAAATATAAAAGAATATACAAAATTAGATAATAGATATAATACAAATAAAATAAGAAAGAAGATATTAAATGTATAGAAATATTCATAATTGAAATTGATTTTATAAAGAAGTATCAAAATTCACATTGATTATATTGAATTGATAAATAAATATGAAATAGTTTAATATCAGTAAGATGTATAATTCTTAATACATAA